GAGGAGCTGAGACAGAGGGAGGAGGAGAGACAGAGAGAGACAGATGAGCTGAGACAGAGGGAGGAGAAGAGACGGAGAGAGACAGAGGAGCTGAGACAGAGATTGGAGGAGAGACAGAGAGAGACAGAGGAGCTGAGACAGAGGCTGGAGGAGAGACAGAGAGAGACAGAGGACCTGAGACAGAAGTATGAAAGAAGGGAGAGAGAGAGAGAAGAGGAGCTCAGACAGAGGTTGGAGGAGGAGTGGAGGAGAGAAGAGGAGCTGAAGGAGAAGATGAGAAAGATACTGAAGGAAGAGGAGCTGGAGAAAGAGACAGAGGAGCCCAGACTGCCTGTCAAGAGGAGGAACAGTTTGGACATCAACCCTCCCCACAGTGAGTGTGATTGATGCTGTATTACTGAGTCACTGATCTTACTGGTCATCAGACTGAGAGATTCAACCATCTTGTGTCCTGTTAGGAATTAAAATCATACTGTGCTCCGCTCTGTACTGCGTTACTAACACAGTGGCACACAGATCTGTGTCTGTTTAAATCCTCTGTGCTGTAATTGAACTCTTTTCTCTCAGGGAGATTAGATTTAATCCATCACACAGCAGCTCAGTCTCTGTAATCTGTTCCTCAAGACTGTGGGACCAACACTCAATCAATCAAGGTTTATTGATCGATGCACGAACAGTACAGCACACAGCGGTGTTGTCAGCATTGAAATCTGCGAGCTCGTTAAAGGCTCGTTAAGAGGGATAGAAGAGTTGGAGGACAGGAATTTATAGGGGTTAACATTGGGATACAACAGATTACACAATTGCAATTCACAGATTGTGTGGGAAGTAACACAAGGATAGGAGGTATTTGGGTGTCCTGACAGTGGTAGGGTACAGGGTAGGAGGTATTGAGGTGTCCCGACAGTAGTAGGGTTCAGGGTAGGAGGTATTGAGGTATTTGGGTGTCCTGACAGTAGTAGGGTACAGGGCAGAAGGTATTTAGTGCTCTTCGTAGGTGTCCTGAGAGTGCCAGTGCCCCCTGTCAGTTCAAGGAGGTAACTGCAGGTGTCTGCTGTGGTTGGCTGTTCAGCAGTCTTACTGCCTGGGGGAAGAAGCTGTTCTGACACCTGGTGGTCTTGGTCTGATACTTCAGTACCGTTTTCCAGATGGTAGGAGAGAGAGCAAGTTG